ACTTGTTTTAAACTGTCTCAACTATCAATTATCGAACAAAGATCCAACTCAAGTCGGCATCGTTTTGTCGCATTAAAGTGTAGAGTATATATAGGATATAGTATAGCAGACATAATCTTTTATTTCTGATTTTCGATCAACGTGTTTTTAGCCAAAGCTGCCAAAGACAATAAGAGCTGCTTTCAATGTCAAATAGAGGCCGTGGATGGATAGAGAGGTTATGTGAAGTTTCAAATAGCTATCTAAAGACAACAACTAATTGAAAATCTGCAATTTCGATTCAAAAATGTTGTTCTCTTGATTCTGTCAGTTTTTGGGTAAATATAAATGCACGAATACATACGTGTCTACAAATACACTGTAATGATTTTCACTGTGGCTCTTTCTTATAAATCATTGAAATTTTAAAATCTTTTCATTAAAAAAATAAATACCTCAGAGTTTAACGTAACATTTACTTATATATATTTTGAAAAAGCTATTTGCATTTTCGATCATTCTGGGTTATGGCTAACATCGTAGCCATAACGAACAACAAAATTTCAATATTTATTATTCCCGTCCTTAGTAGGATGGATGACTCCCGTTATTTGAGGTAAGAAAATAAAATAAATAATGAAAGTAAAAAATAAAGCGTTTGCAAATCTCCCAAATCCATCGAAAAGAGAATTGCAACCAATTCTCAATTATTTCAATTTAAAAAAAATAAACCCACAAACCATTCTGTATAATTTTCAGTGTTTAAGAACGGCAAGACCAACGATACGAAACCAAGAGTTTTAGCAAATTTCGAAATCGCTTCAATATACTTATCAGCATTCTAAAAGATCTTGCGCATAGCAGAGACTACCACAGCAGCTCCAGCCATAGCACCGCGGTATTCCCCATGCCAGAAGCGAGACGAAGACACATGCCACCAGTTTATCGAATCGGAAAGAGAGATTTATTATTGTAGAAATTTTTCTTTCTGCTGAAAAAATTCACCTATAAATAGCAAGATTGGTTTATCTTTTGGTCCAGTGTCACAATAACTGTTTTGGCTTTTTAACAGGCAACGTAGCCAAGCATCGAATTTCGGCAAACCATGGAGTTCTAGTAAATTTATTAAATATATTCGTTTGTAAATTTATATTGCTTGTTGTCGTTGTAATGTCAGAGAGACAAGGCGCTACCTTCAGCGGCTTTGCTCGGGATATTCCATCGAATCTACGAGCATTCCACAAAAATTATATCAGAAAAAATTTATTTGAATAGAATTTTATTTGGAAGTTGAAGGTGTATATAGTAATGTTAAGTTAAAGATGCAAAATTCGGCTAAAATGAGGACATGCTACGGATAAATTTAATGGAGAGGGCTAATTGAAAGCTAAAGATAAGGAATAATAGGAAATTATCGCGAGTTAGCGAATTTGCTCGTTCAGATGAGGGCCATCTTTTGCTTTAGAAGCATGAAAAAGGCCGCTGTGTAATCTAAGCATATTGTGTTATCAAATGTATGATGACATCTGAAAATGGGATTGTCAGCAGATTTTCTAACATTGCAGGCTTTAGAAATATCATTTGAAATGACACGAATCGTTTTTATACTTACCATTGTAAGATGAGGGTATATTCATTTTGTTCCTTTTCAAAGCATATGTAACACCCAAAAGGAAGCTTGAAGGACTCTATAAGGTATAGACATTCTTGATAACCGTTAAATTCGGAGTTGATTTAGCTACGTCTGTCCGTCTGCGTGGTGTCTGTTGTCGGCACTCTCCTGTTTACAAAAATAAAAGATATCGGCTGCAAATATAATAGAGATATTGGAAGTTTTTAAACGCAGATTGGTATTGAAAATGGTCAGAATAGAAGCCTACAGTGGCACATCCGTTTTTCTTCACAAAAATTTGTGGCTTTTTGCGATATGGCGATATGGGTATCAAATAAAAGAACTTTTAGAATAGAATGCGAAAAACATGGTGGTGCGTACGCGAGATTCGGCCCCCGCCGAATATAACATTCTTTCTTGTAATATACACCTTATGATAAGTATGGCTACTTATGATAGGGGTTTATAATTAAAAATATGATTTATGTTATAGCAAAGGCGATCAAAAATTTTAAGGACGATTCCTTAAAAGGGTGTTAAAAAAATTTTTCATATCTCAAGGGCAACGCTTCGAAGATATTCCTACGTCAATACCTATTAGATGTTTGCACGTATTCTGATCATTTTTTCACTTGAAAACGGAATTTTTTTAAAACACTCGATACAATATATATTGATCAAAATATTTTCAATCATTTTCTATAACTTTTCCCCAACTTTCTGACAGCTTGGCAATACCGTGTCGAAAGAATACTTTTGAAATCCTGTTGAACTTATTCAACAAAAAGTTGATATTTTACAGTTCATTCGGGTCATAGATAGGCACAGATTTTTCACTTGTTAGAACTACTCACAATAATTCTGGGCAGACATGAAATATTTAATAGTTGCTTCAGCGATTTGAATTGACACTTGCCCCGATCACACATAATTCTTCAAATTTTATTTTAGCGATTTTCAAAGAGAATGCGTTTGCTCTTCAGTTTGAATAGCGTATTTTCCATCGCCATGAAGCAAGTATAATTGCCATCATTATAAATAATATATGTTACTGTAAGGTAATACGTTAAACAAGTATAAAGAGAAAACTAGATAAATGTAAAAATTAGTTCAAGTATTTCTAATTGAATATTGATTCAAATTCAACATTAAATTTTTGTGTAAAAGTCAATATTGTTATTGATAAAATACATGATTAGAAATAACAACTTATAACGTTATATAAGGCTGACGACGATTTTCGTAAACCCATCACCATTCATTTTATTGTACTAATATCAAGTTTCGCAAAGCCTTTCGCAGCATGATCACGTTCTACTTTTTACAAGTTATAATCAGTATTAAGGAAGTTTTTTTTTAAAGCTTTAAGCAAATTAATTTACATGCAATATAGTGGGCGCGGTCGTTTATTTTCATTTTTGACATAAAAGATTTAAACAATTAACAAAAAGCTCTTTACACTATACAACTTAAATGACATGAGAAATTAGTAAACGAGTAAATTTTGATATTCTATCTATTATTATGATATAATGAATGGGCGTGTTCATATTATTTTTTTTTTCAATCTTCATGCGACGAAGAGAAAGTATAGAATAATTTGCAGCATTGCATCTTGCTTAGTCGCTAAGTGGCAAGTAGAAAAGGTCATAGAAATAAAGAAAATGCAATTTTTGAGCACTTATAACTTTCTGTGTGGGCGATCTTGAATAGCTTGAATTGTCCTCTATAAATTCAATCCCTCTTCGCTCTTTCACAATTTATGAGCAATGGACAAAAAGTTAAAAATGTTTGCTAAGACAAACAGAGTTGCGAGCAATTCAGGCTTTAGTGTGATCCTGTGCTTTAAATAATTTGATCCATTTTCAATTTTAAGTACTGCTGCTTACAGGTATTGCCATATATGAAGTCGATATGTTAATTTTTGCAATCAGGGGGCAAGTGATAAAAAAAAAAAAACACATATCCACATAAACAGATAGGCGGACAGATGGATAGACATGGTTAAATCGATTCATAAAATCCACGTTTATCACGCTCTCTGAAGATTCTGAAGATTTTGCAAGCGTTATGATAAAATGAATATATCGCCATCCTTCGATGGCGAGTAATATAAAAACTGTTGAGAATGTTAATTAATATCGAAGAGATAAGATGATAGTTGTGCGTTTATTTACTTAAGGATATAGAATAAATTAATAAAGTTTACTATATTGTATAACATGCGAAGTGTTTGTATTCTCTAAATAATATTTATTTACTCTTTATACTTAGTCGGCAGCAGTGCTAATAGCTTTTTTGTTGTATTTCCAATTATTTCTGCTTCCAAAAAGACAGGTAAATACCCATACAACAACAATAACAATAACAAGAATGCAAAACAAAAAAAAAAAAAAAAAAACAAAAAGAAAAGAAAACATCGATGTATTGTGTGCTATGCTGATCGTGCACTGAGTTTTAATCGAACGCTTTTTTCCTACACATGTCGTTACGGCGTTACGGATGAATAATACTAAGAAAATAACTATTAACGCGATCCGACGGCAAGTTTAATATAATAGCAATGAAAAATATCATTCATCAGAAAATGTCAATAAAATAAAATATAACTTAAACGCAATTAAAAATATGAAAGAAAGACATTGTATATTAATTTGTTAAAAAATAATAAAAAAAACAAAAAAACAAAGAAAAAAAAAAAAAAAACCAAGCTCTTTAGACCGTTAAAAGATAATAATTTGAAGGAAATTTTCTTTAGCTACTTGAGCGGTGATCTTTCGCAATTAAAGTGATCTCCTTACCGCTGTTTAAAATTCTTGATCGTGTTATGTAATTGAAATGCGTAACTAAATGTTTTCATATACACTTTCTATCGTTTAATCCGAACGAATATTTAATGACCATTTAATGGCCATTTATGAATAAACATTTTATTAAATTAATATTTCCTTTCTTTGGATCAATTGACGTAATACGCTATCAACAAACAAGTGCAAAGTAAAGCAGTAGCAATTAATTCAACTACGATAATATCGCCAGCATAATTACTAAGTACTTTGTTGTCAATTTTTTAAACTGGTAAATATTTGCTAAATAATGCACACATACACACCCGCACACAAACTCATTGTACTAATTGAACTCGTAAAGTTCGTATGTTACAAACAGCCATCGCGAACAATATAAGTAAATACAGATGTTTCACCCGATACTTTGACACGTCGTTAAAGAGACTTTCAAAGAAATTAAAAAAAAAAAAAAAAAACATAAACAAACGAAAAGATTACTATCTCTGAACAGATATGGTGGTTAGAATGAAATCAATATTTACATAGATGAGAACAATCCTTTCCCGCTCCCATTGTACGCTTATCTTATCTTTTTTTTTTTTTTGTTTTTGGATGTTAAGCTTAAACGTATTGAGGCAGCCTTAACATGGATATTAACTATACAATACAACTCTTGGCGTACGGTATATGCTAAGAGGTGCGTCTAGCTCAAGTCCTTCTCGGTGTTGCACACGCTCAGAATCACCTTCTGAACCGATCGGAACTTATCTACCCATCTGTCCGTCCTCTGTCCTTGTATTCAACCTGCGGTATTTTGATGATGAAGGTTGGTGCACTGAAATGTTTTTTGCCCAGGGACAAACGCCACTGAAAACGGCCCGCGTCATCAATTTTCTCGACCACTTTCCATTTAGTGCCTTCTTGTAGTACTACGATCAAAAATTTGTGAGAGTAAGTTCTTTTTCGATTATAGCCGCGTCTGAATGAAGCCATTCCAACAGCCAGAATCACGAGCAGACAAATCTTGATTTTTTACCAACATAGCATCGGTTCTTAATATTTTTCTTCAGCAATCGTCCTGCTTGCATGATTGAGTTTCAACTGATTTCTGTTGACTGTTCGCGAAACTCGAAGCTGCGCTTCGGTTATATGGCTTTCACTCAACTAAAGCCGAGTATATGCCTTTTCAGTTGGAGCGAAGCAGACGAAAGTCAAGTTATTGCTGTAATATTCGACAAAGTTCTCAGATCTAGGAGGCAATCAATTAACAAAACGACAAAGAAAGACATGGAAAACTCTTACCACTTTTTCATCACAATAACATCCCAATACCTACGTCCGCTAGCGCTGCCAAGTTAAATAAGATCAGTGGCTAACAAATCGGTATTCGGCCATTGAAATCGCAGTGCGGTAGAGTTTACTTTGGTCATAGCTGTAGTGAGAGAGTGTTCGGTCGGTAAAGGTCAGTCTAAAAGGAAGCCGTAAGTAATTTTATAGTTAAAAATCTCGCGATGGTAGATATGAATTAGTGATGTAACAATTATATATGAAAGAAAATGAAAAAAAATAAATAAATTGATGAGCGGCGAATAGGTGTAGAGTTTCCTGGTAAAGACCGTTCCTGCTTCAATAAACTCTCTACGTAAGTGCTGGAGAAAATGAAGATCAGCCTGATTAAGGGATACGGACACCTTGAAAATGAATCTGTTGTCAAAAAAAAGTCATGAACTAAGACTATAAGGTTTTTTCGATTGAGGATTGATTCGCCTCTCGAAAAGGGGAAATGGTCGACTTGTACTGCTGCTGCTTTATTATGTGATCTTAAGCCATCCGGCATTTTATTTCTTTCTCTGTCTCTGTCGAAGTGACATATTGTCGGAATACATGCCATCGAATTCATCAAATTATTCTTGCGCTCGTATTGACGGCAACATATTGCTGTCGTTTAGAGAAGCGGGAGGTATTTGTCAGCAAAAGTCACCTCTCTTTTCTACATCGATAAAACAACGGACGTATTTCGAATTAAGGAATGTGACAGCTACTTCGGAATGTGACAGCTACATCGGAAGAAATTCAGAAAAGACTCTACTTGTTCTATTTAAACGAACGCGAAGAATATTGTTATTATTAATATAATAAAGTTAGCCAGAGAAATAAGTTCAAAGACTAAAATCTTAAAGTACTAGGCATGTGTACTAGCATCGGCCATGATCATTGAGTTGTTAGTTGCGATTGTAAAGAATAATAATAGTCTTCGTACTATCAATAGGCAACAAAATTCTTTATCAGAGCCGCCTGGTTTCTTATTAAGTGCTCAAGTCTAATTCGTAGACATCGACAAAGTTTAAAATATGTAAACAGGTTTTTTTTTTCTCGATCAACGTACGCGACACTACAATTCCAATTTCAAAGTTAGCTGTCATTAAAAATGTTAGTTAATTTATTTATTAGTTATTAGAACGACACTGTGTGACTAGTGGCCAATAAAGTAACCTTTATGCTGGCATTAGCAAGGTTTTCGTTAAGCACGACCTCGCAAATCTCAACAAAAGCATTAAATCGACAATTTGTAGGTATGCGTATGAATGTAAAAACCATGCAAAACCAGATTAAGAACTCAAAGAAAATGAAAAAATTCATTTAACTAAATTGCATAAATATATTAGGTTTAAAGGATAGTCGACGGCGACAGTCGACGTTGTATTGTAAATAAGTAAGAAAATTAAATCCGGTCGCGACCGAATCTTTTGTACCCATCACCGTTTACGCAAAGAAAAGACAAAAAAAGTAAAAGAACCAAATTCGCATGGTCTGTAATATGTGCGCAAGCGCCGTTGATTTCTGCTATTTTCAAAATAAACGTTTTTGGTCGCATAGGCATGCGGGTGGTGTAGGCGTGTCCTTGAAAGAGTTTAAGTCACTTTTGCTAATTTGTAGGCGAAAACTTTATTTGCGTGAACGGGAGAATGTTTACGACAAACATTACACAGTGGCGCAGACAGACAGACGAGCAGACGGATATGTTTAAATGTATTCCAAATTTGAAGTCGATAGCTTCATTCTTGCGGCACGGAGAATGTTTACAACAGACATTAAACAAATGGTCAGGCGAACAACCGGACGGACAAATTTATTCTATTGAATATACAAGACACCTATAGGAGGGGGACCATACAACATGGGCATATTCAAGTATTGATTTGGCTACCATGTGATCGGTTTAGCGTTTTGGACCACCGTTTAATGAAACCGACCTAGTGCCGACCTAGGTTCACTTAAAGAGATCTCAACACGCAGATTAGAACGTAATCTTTGGTCGAAAACGAGTTCTAAATCCATAAACGGATCTGTGAAATCAATGGTGAAGTCAGTAGTGAATGAATTCCACGTTGAGAAAGAAAGCTTCTTGCATTTTATCAGATTTAATTTCATAAGCCCCGAGTGACTGCTTTGATAGGCATCTGACGTCAGGGGGAATTCATCCGAGCTGATGGAGATGAACAGAACCCTGAGCGATCTGTTATGAAGATAAGAGTTAACCAATTTCAATAAGTACAAAGACTAGCCAGAGACGTGGGGTTTGAAGATCAATAATTTATGGCTAACTAAGTCAAATGCTTTACTAATGCGCTTTAATGCATAATCATAAACAATAGATTTGAAATTTTGCAACAAATCCGTTGATCGTCTGCTTACTTTTCAGCTAGAGACCGCTGTTGCTTCAATTTCCAAAGTAGCGACAGCCGAGTCTGAGAAATCTGACGCTTAATGAAATAATAATTCCTACTCTAGAGATTGAACTTAAATCGATTAATAGAATTTTATAATTATTCAAGTTTTTACAAAAAAAAAAAAATTTAAAAAAAAATGACAAATAAAAACACTATAGTGAGGCAAGAGCCACAATTAAATACATCGCCGACACCGCCCTACAGTTATGCAGACATCAACTCTTCAAACCAGGGTAATATGGCTTAATACGGTAAGTGATCGAAAAAGTGATCCGATCCGAATCATTTTCATTAGCATTCGTCCTTGGGCGAAAGCAACAAAAAGTGTACCAAATTTCATCAGTCATAAGTCAAAAATTTGCGGCCTATAGGTTGCACATAGGAAAACATGGCAAACAGACAGAGAGACAGACAAGCAAAAGGAGCTTCTATAACAAAACGTGAGTCCGTCTTCTTTGCATAGCATACATCCGCACAAACATAACATAACATTTTACCGCAAATACTGTAGGGTACAAAGAGTAGATCATACGACACTATATAACCGATTTTTCAGCACACTGTGCCATACTTAAGAAGAAACCATTGTTTATAAAAAACTGGCAGTCCCAGAGGAAGCTTTACACCATTTGGATAAATACGAATTTTCTTTATTCTTCTTCTTTATATCCTGTTCACAGTCGTAAAGCGAAATCATATCAAACTTATTGGAGAAGAAGGCTTAAGAGCACTCACCATACCACAAAACCATGATCAGCGCTTCTTAGATTCAAGACGAGTGCATCTGAGATATAACTTATGTAAATCCAAATTATGTATCTCGTGTATATTATGTTGGCACGAGACGCTCTTCTCAAAAACAAAATTAATCAAAATTCCTTTATGATTACGCGTTGCCTTGAGTATTTTTTTTTAAATTAGGTTCAATACCGCCGCATATCGTGAATAACGTAATTAGGAAAACTCTTTTACAACAAGATTTCGTTAAATTGTTTGTTTTGACTTCACCTTTCGAATATCGCGATTTAACTGACTCGGCATGAACAGGTCACCGAAACGTTTGTATTGCTCAGAGGGAATCGTCAGAGGCCCGGCCTGTTGTAAGTGTTCTCCTAGCTGCAAACAGAAAGCTATCGACTTCAAATTTGATAAATATATTGGAAGTTTTTACATGGAAGGTTGGTATTGAAAATGGACCAAATCGATCCAAGAACACGCCGACAGTAGTGCGTAAAATGAGGAAGCCTCTGTTTTTCGAAAAGAATAAAAAATGTTTTTTTGCCGCTTGCTTTGCTACGAAAACTTGAACGTATATTCTTTGGGCGATGCTCTATTGCCCATAAAAAGATAGGACAAATAGACCACGCCCACCCAATATTATAGCGTATCAAATATTTACATTAAAATAATAGGAGCTTGCATGTATTCCGATCATCTTTATCATTGGCCAAACAAAACAGAAAATCAAAAATGGAAAATTCTATTGCTTATGCTTGCACATGTAATTGTTTAAGCAAACGCACGCACAAGTGCACATAAGCATTTTCACTACAGCTCTAATACATCTCCGTTCAATATATTACGCTATCGCAACGGCATACGTGCGTAGCCTTACACGTACACGTACACGTCGAATAACATTTTTGCTCTCTCTTGCGCTCTCCCATTGCCTATTTCGGGTCCTAGAGTGCGATATGATAATTTTGTTGAATGAGCGCCGTCAGCGAAGCGTTCCATCTTATATATATATATATGTTTTTAATAATTACACTCGAGTAGTTTGAGTAAATAAGTCACAGCACGAGTGCACATACAAATGCCGGTAAAAATGTGATAAGAATATGATGCAGACAAAAGAACGAAGACAAGGCCTGACTGAAGTTGGATATCCACATCTGAATGGATGCGTATTAGAACGAAATCATTTTCTTTTCTTTTCTTTTCGATTGAATCATTGTACAATAAGTAAACAAACCCCTCCCTACAGCAAAGTAAATTGTCACGGCGACCGATATATTTTAATATAATAAAATAATATGGTGACCTCTTCGTGCACAACTTCATGTGCTTTGTTCCACTTAATCTGGCCTTAACTATATACTTGTATCCCCCTTGCATATACAATTAATATAAAAAGTCTCTCTACGGTTTTTCACCACTGGTTGATGTTGTTGATGCCTACGTATCGGGCAACACTCACCTGATTGGCTCATGCGAAGATGCGTTTAAAAGGTGATATTTCAGCTTACATTTTTTGCGTGGATAGTTTGCTAGTGTAGAAAATTGTATTGATTGAAAAATGAGTGAAATATCTGCAGAAAGACGCTATGTAATGCTGTTTTAGTATAAAAAAGGTAAAAAGGCCGTAAAACTTGCGAAGTGTACAGTGAGAATGGTGCGAATGAACGAAGGACTCAGAAGTGGATTGCTCGATTTCGGGGTTAAAGATGCGCCCCGCTCAAGTCGGCACGCAAGCTGTTAGGAAATAGCGAAGGCACTAAACAGTAGCCGCATGAAAAGAGCAGATTGCAAAAACAAGCTCAAAAGGTGTCCTAAAAGCCGCGTAGACCTTTTATATCACTGCGACCTTTCATAAATCTGCGTTTGTGGCTTACATCTCATTCCGGTAGAGCTTACTTGGCTCGCTGCTACAGTGACTACTCAGGTATTATCGGTTGAGTACACACCGAATAGTCTACGGCCATCCTCTACACTCACATTCCTCAATTCTTTCTGACTGTGAGCGTGTGACACGTGTAGCGGACATCCTCTCAGTGCTTAGTCAGATTAAAACAAAAAAAATTGAAAAATTTAATTCAATTGCTTCTTTCATTTGATATACGTAGCGCACCAGGATCATGCGGCACTTGAGCCGACGGCCTTTGATCTTAGCCCTCTTTTTCTCGCATTGTATAAAAATTAATTTTTTTAAGCAATTTTTTTCTCTCAAAAATTTTTTCAAAGACGTCATCTAATTTTGAACCGACATCTCATTGACAAATAATTGTCATAATCCTCTCAAATTCTCATGTAGTCGTAATGTTCTCTTCACTTCACGGATTTAGCTTCGCGACGCGATTAACACATATCTCTCAAAAAAGCCCAACCGAAATTGTAGAGTTTCTATATATATATATATATTTTATTTATTAACTATACTCACATATCGTGCAATTTATATATATATTCTACAGATCAATTGTTTTTATTTATATAATTTTAATGTAAAAATAACTACAGCCATTGAAATGATAATAAAAGACAAGAAACCTATTAAAAATGGCAAACGCATCTCCAAGGCCGGTTGATATGATGATGAGATGAGCCTTTCGTCGTCCGTGATCGTAAAAACTCTAAACGGTATTTTTGATATTTTAGACGTCTCGCTTACATTGAAAAACGAACTTGAGTTTGTTTCCCGCGAACGTTTATGTCGCACTAAAGAACTAGTTTCAGCGTAACCGGCGCATTCTTTGGCATCAACGGAGCAATCTTGCGGATATAAACAAGCCGAAATGCGCACAGACACTATTAGTTCGTCACCGCTCGACATGCCCTGAAACATGAATGCTTTAAATGGTAATTTATAAGCTAGAGGAGCCTCAAAGATAATTCCTTGACACACGCTAAGCATAAAGGGATTCAGGCAACCTTCTGATGTAATTAAAACAGCCTCTTGCAGTACATCGCCATCGGGTGCAATCCTTTGAAATATGATATCAGTTACTTTAGCATAATTCCAACCTAGAGGGTAAGAGAGATAGATAGAGATAGATAGAGATAGAACGACTTATTTTAAAAACCAAGTTTAGTTGTACGTGGCCCTTAGATAAGAAATAGGATAACTAAATATAGCAAAGCTTGGAGCTCGCTTCTTTGGCGATAGGTAGCTTATTAACTCTTCAATGATCCCAATTATATTTTGATGTCAAGGTAAGCTTTAAATTATTTAAACAAAAAACTTTATTTTATGTTCTTTTAGTTTGTAAAGATGTTTGCGTTTACTTTCAAGCTGATTTACGGGCTTAAAACAAAAGATCTATGTGATTGTCTTTAGCTTCTCGTCTCAGTTTGCGCAATTTGTAGGAGGTATGATGACAAGTCGACTCAAGTCGAAGAATCTAATCGGAGTGTTCGGCCTCGCGAAAGCACGAAACTGGTTTCCCACCTTCGATGCCGTAAGCATATAAACAACAACAACAAAAACAAAAAAAAAAAACAAAAAACAAAAAACAAAGTATATTACCATCCCCTGGTAGGATATGGGCCCTCAAGAGTAACTCCTCCCCAAGTTGTACGATTCCCTTACTGTTCACATGCTGCGTATAGCCTTCAGATGTTCTCCTTAATAATTCAAGATGGGTACGTAAATTATTTTGTTTCCCACCACGCGCATAGGCACCCAGACTGCGAGCTTGCCTAAATCAATTTTTAAAATATATGTATATATATATATATATATATACATATATACATTTATATATATATATATATATATGTATATGTCTTATTAAGTCTTCTTTACTGTTCTCTGTTTACGGCCATTTTGATGGTGTGAGTTTTTACGGCCACTTTCTTTTGTGTCTCACAGTGCAACGTGAATATGGCATCGGACGCTGTACGCATGCCTTTTACAGATGGAAATCGTAGTCGTAAGCACAAATCCCCTGCGCACTGATAAACGCCGCACTTTTCAAAACACTCTTCTCTCATATACAGGATGAAGCGATTATTTTGCAATGAAAATTGGCAACTTTTGTCAGTGCTATCGTTATCCACGACGGGAAAGATTGTTAGGAATTGATTGATTTGTAAAATCACATGAAAAAATCCGCTCTTGTCGGGAGACGACAAGCAACGCAACTCACGCAAATCCGGACTATCAATATTGATATGCTTTGTAACGGTCGTTACCATCTCAGCGGAAGATGCATTGGTGGCAGCGTTTATTATGTTCGACGATCTAAAACGTCCAGGTGTTTGGAGATCATAGCCTGCGGAAGATGATAAATCCGGTGATTCTATTACTTTACTCGAGTCATTTGCTTCGCTGACATTGAATCTTTGCTTATGGACATCGATTTGCTTTGAAGATTGTAGACTGCTAAGACAATCAATTGTAAGACAACATAAGGGCTAAAAAATCGGAAATTTTTATTTTACATTGACTCTTCATACCCTAGCGGCAAATAATATTGATGCGACGGTATGAACGTTTTGAGATCGTTAGCTTGACGATTGTCTGCAATTTCCGGTAATTGAAGTTCATTTGAATCGAAATTGCTCGGTGCTAAAGAAGGTAATGGACCATAAGAAGCCGTCGATTTCGATTTCGATTGATCGAAACGATTTTGAATGAAATGCAAATCCGGCTTAAGTAAATAATATCCACCCAGTATCGAATTATGCGACAAAATTAACAAATTCACGAAATTGCTGATGGTAAGCATTTCGTTAATACGCACAAGAGACTATAGTTAAAATTCTTTCGAATTTCGCTTTTTATACCACGAAAATATTTCACTATTTTTTTTTTTTGTAACATTTCACTTTTCTTCTTTTCGTCTTCTTCTTTTTTTTTTTGCATGTTCAATATCTCACGTTTTCCATGTTCTTTTAGTTTTAACATTTTGGTTAAATTAATTTTTATTAAATCCACTATTATTGTTCGTTTGAACATTTCAATTTTCTTAAATTCTTTCGAATGTTATCGCTGACGCTGACGCTGACGCTGACGCTGACGCTGATGCTGACTGTTTAGACCATGGAACCCATTCATATATATTTGCGATTTTTAAGCACATTTTTAAGTCCATTGGCTATGAGAAAATATAAAAAATAATTTTTTTTGCATTTTTAACGCACTAATCATCATGCATTAGTCATCTATTTATGGTGGTAACATGATGAATCGAAATGCTTATGGTATTTTACTATCGACTATTTGGTCAGCTTGTCGTAGTAACTTGTTAGGAGTGCATATCTCAAACGAAACGGGGAACACATAATGTGACAGCTATTAATGACAGCTTATTTTAATTTACATTCCTTAACAGACATAATTCATAAATAGACATGCGATCACAAAAAATTTTCTTTTTACGCAGTCTACGCAATTTGTTCAATTTACAAAAAAATCTCAGACTTTAAGCACATTTTCATATCTTACTCATGCGTGTATCAATTAGCTTTAAATGCAATATATATATATATATGTGTGTGTGTGTTTGTTATCTAATTAATGATATTTTGCCATTTTATTTACTTGCCTCTGAAATTACATCGAAAGCCTGCTTTTTGACCATTTTCCTTCTCCATAACTTTTATCCTATAATGTTATTTTACTGTTTCTCTTCTTTATCATCATTTCTCAGATTATCATAATTTTCTATCTGATTGGTAAAAAAAGAAAATTGAATTCAATCGGGACCGAATCTTTTACACCCAACATCGTTTACCCCCAAAAAAAGGCCAGAAGAATGTATACAACAGACATCGCACATGCGGACAGACGGACATGCTTAAATCGATTTAGAAGTGGATGCTATGCACTTGGTGGCGTCTCTGATGATTCCTTCTACGCGTTGCAAATGTTTTGACAAAATGAATACTGCCCTCATCCTTCGGTGATGGCTATAAAAAAATAATTATCATCGGATTCTTTTCCAGACATTAATTCAATAGTTTCTTTATCACTTAGCTAATTGGACAAGCCCGCAGGACCTATGCGTCACACATAAAAAAAGGAAAAAGCAAAATTGAAACTGAAATTGGTCTAAACCAGTGGCGCCCTTGAAGCAAACAGTTTTCGACCGTAAGAGACCATAGCTTAAATTATTCTATCCAGTTGTAGTGAAAAACTTGAGTTATTGAAGAGAAAACAAAATTTGGACTAGATAGTCATCTCAGAGACTTTATATCTTTCAGATCGAAATTACTCATTAGCCTTTCGAAAAACTTGAACCGAAAATAAAATGCCGACCCTGTATGTAATATTAAGAAAATTAACGTCATAGTCGAGCAAGGCCGACCATTTGGTATAAAATTGAATCTGGTTGCATATATTGGTACATAGACTCCCCTTTTTTTTATCCTTCATCACTTGTGGGGATATTAAGCTTGCGCGGATGTACGCAACACCCAGAAAAGACTTGAAATAGACAAACGTTATGTTATACTAATCGATTCAAAAAGTGATCCTGAATACCGTTCAATTTGATATCATGCATTAAATCGATGTAAGTCGGTCTCTCCGTCCGTCCATTTGGTATTCTTGTGTTTGACCTGCAGGTCGCAAGTATTGCATGAATTTTTGTCCAAAGTTTGTAGAGAATTTTCTGCTCCACAAGGGATCAATTTTCGTGAAAATCCTTATTAGGGTAGGATCCAAAAATAGGCCGCGATACCACAAACATGAATGATGTAATTTCTATCATGAAACAATAAAAATTATACCTTTTTGGCGCATGAACTTCAGCTTCGTTATATGAGAGGGCGTTCAAAAATTGCCATAGCCACTCCAAAGGTTTCATAAGAATTTAGAATGTTGAAATATTACTACTTAGCCACTTTTGCCGAGAAATTGGAGCGTTCGGAACCATTTTCAATAGGGTTCGTCCTTGGGGCAAAACACGTCACTGTACCAAATTTCCTCAAAATATCTCAAAAATTGCAGCCTGCAGCTTGAACACAAGAGTACATGGACAGACATCAGACGAACGGACTAACAGACAAGCTTAGATCAATTCAGACTCTGAATCGATCGGCATAATAAAAGGTGTGTCTATCTTAAGCCCTTCTGCATATTACATACGACCGCACTAACTTAATTTACGTCGTACAGCAACTGGTGTGGGATGTAAAAATTAGATTTACCCTCCTATCCGTTTTAGTGTTGCATACGTTCGCACAAACTGGATATACCCTATACCCAATGCGATGTAGCATAAGCATAACAAAGAGGAAAATGTAACCCACAACTGTTTTGTTTAAATATTTGTTAGTGCAATAAATGGGATTAGTTTGAATTGGGGTGGGATACGGTAATTTGAGCTTTTGAACAAGTTTTTTTTTTCGTTTCAATACGATTCAAAACTGCATGCAACGTGACTGCAACCTGCAATCCTCTCATTCTCTTCACTTGAATCTGCTGTATCCTCTTCAAGCTAACATTCTCCATTGAAATAGGTGGAGGTAGATTTGATTCACTCATCAGTTCATTTGATTGTTATTTTTTTAGCTAAAAATTGTTCTGATTTTCGATTGAGAATTATTGAGATTGAGAGCTAATTGAATCACATAGACCGGTGTGTTGTCAATTTGTAATGTTTTTTCAATAAAAAACACAATTTCTACTAAATCTTTTCGTGTTGGCAATTCTCTTATGATTACGGCACTGCTAGGTTTGTGTCCAAAGTGCCACTTTAATGATTGGCTTGTGTCTGGAGTTTCGCTCTCACACGCTAAAAAATCAACATGACATGCACATGCACCGTCTCGTACGTTTCATACTAGCGTAATACCATCTACAATATGACTACTAACCACACTTGCATAAATATATGATCAAAATACCATCTACAATATGACTACTAATCACACTTACCATCTACAATATGAATATTAACCACACTAAGGCCGTTGCATGTATTTGCATTTATTTAATTAAATAATATGCGATATGTTTTATAAGAAAATTTGCAAATTTATTTATTTAATGCTTGTTTCACCCATCGAATCGAGTAGACGCGCTTTCTGAATTTTTTCAAAGTTTATTGTTAAAACACTTGATTAACTCCTATCTACATATTCAACACAAATTTTTGTAATTATAAGCGTCAGCAGCACTAAATGGCAAAATTGTTTTTAACCATTGAATAATAAAAAATTTATTGCGAAAAAATTGTTGTAAACATTTAGTTAAAACATCTTTTAACAAAGCAATTGAAATGGAAATTATTGCTACCAAACAAATGTAAACAAATCGTTTTTTTTTTCTTTCACTTTCCTCCACTTTTAGTTTAAAATAATAAATTAGAAATGATTTGGAGTAAAAATTTCATTCTTAATTGTAAATGTATTGGGAAATTGATGGGAATTATTTCTGGCAGATTTTCCGAAATATCTTCATCGCGTCGAAACTTATAGGTGACAATGTGAAATTATTTTGACATTGTCCGATTTCCTTTTCTATGTGGGCAGGTCATAAGCATTTCCTAAACATCCGAACCTTAATCGATTATTGAAAGCTTTCAAAGCCAAATTTCAGCTTCTGAATCCCATCTCTGCGACGATATCGCGATAACCAGACCAGATAGAGAAAATTTGATTGTTAATGTTTGAAGGTATTTTCAAAATCTCTTTTGAAGATCGGAAATTGAAAAAGATCCCAATGACATACTCGGCAGTTCTAGTATTTAAACAAAATTATAATAATAAGATCGAAAAGAAATCCATACTAAATCAGAAAAGGTACGAAAATTATAGTCGGTTGTGACCGAAACTTTTACACCCTAGAAAAAGGTTAAAAAAAACAAGAATAACCAAGTTTTCATCTTTTATAATATAGAATGGATGCGGCTGAGATTTGCTCTATGTTCAGAATGGTGTATGTGTTGCCCTTTATGCATAAAAAGCAAGAAACTCGCAAAGCAAAGGTGCAGTTTTTGTTGCATGGCGTATAGGCGTTTATAGGCGTCTCTTTTGATCAGTTTGGATCATTTTAAAACTCTCTTTGCACATTTACAGGCGATATCTTCATTTTGAATAACGGGAGAGTGTTTACCAAGGATACTACACAGACAGAAAGACGAACGCACGTACATGCCTAGAGGCGTCCCGATTGTTGAAACCCGACCACGAATTTGTATAATTTATGTGGTTTATGAAGCTTGCTTCATAACTGCATTATAAACGTATTGCAAAAAAAAAAAAAATTAATTTTGATACACTATAATATTGATTGGGTAGGCGTGGTCAATTTTTCCCGTTTTTATACAAGCAGTACAGTGTCGCCCACAGAATATATGTTCAAATTTTCGTAAATTTATCCACTTTTACGAGCACGCTGCCATTGAAGACGGGCCAAATCGTTCAAAGGACAAGCCTACAGTACTACGTAAACTACGAAAGTCTCTGCTTTTCAAAAGGAATAAAAAATTGGTTATTTGTTCATTATTTAACTAAACAGAAGCTGATAAATAATTTTTTTCTTGTTTTGTTTGTCCTATTTTATATCTTCTAATTCGGTAGATTTCGGGAGGTTTGGGTTTTTTGGGCTTGCACAATCCGCCTGGGTGCCCGAGTAGCAAAGTGTCTCGACTACCAACTCAATGGTCGTGGGTTCAAATCGCAAGTGCGATAGAGTTTTTAATAAAGCCGAAATCCTTAGATGCTAATGCTTTAAGCCTTTAGTCCAAGAATTTATTCTCTCACTAAATTAATAATAATAACAATAATAATAGCTCGCACAATTATCCAGATAGTGCTGCCAACAATATTTTGTTGAATTGCTTTGATTATCAGTTACCATGAATGAATGAATCTTCGGAATCTTCGCATCTTCGTTCCAATTTGCAATCGAATATCGATTTTGTAGATATTAAAAGGTTCGTCCAAAGCTAAATGTCATTTCTTTCTTGTTGATTAATGTGAAATGGCAAATACCACTTGGTTTTTCCATATTGACTTACTGTTGGAATGTTGAGGTTAAAACACACGTTTGGTGCTTATATCTACGATATAAAACAGTACATGTCCATTTATAAACTCAGCAAGATGTTATTCACTCAACGACTTTGTAAAAAAAAAGATTAATTTTTTATTTAACCCACAATAAAAGAAAAGACAATAAAAAAATCAACCGATGCGACTGAGAGCGAAGGTTTTTATACCATCCATAAGAGCATCTGTCTAAATGCTTAAGCTTATCACTCAAATGTACGCAAAGTATATTCGGGATCAAAGTCATTTCCTATGCAAGCATACTATGCGTAAGCTTGGTAGGAACGAGTTACATTTCATTGCTGTTTCTTGCGTGGAATAATAACTCTTTAGTAGTAAAGGGAAAACTGTTATTCTACGTAGAGAGAAAGGTCAAAATTATTGAACCGATATTTCAAAAAAAAGACATATTCAACTGTGACCGAACCTTTCAATCCCATCACTGTTATCCCAAAAAAGGGAAGGAAAAAGACTAAAAACAAGAAAGAAAATTTCCAAATAAAAGTTTTTGTTGCATAGGCGTGTAGGCGTGCTTGACCTTTGCCCTTTGAAAAGTTCAGGTCACTTCCAAATTTCTTTTAGAAATATGTAGACGATAACTTTATTTTTGCGAACGAGTGAGAGGATTTACCACAGATACTACACAGTTGGGCGGATAGATAGAAGAACAAATGTTCAGACGGACATTGGCCAAGACTATTCATACTTTATGGAATGCGTCTGTGTGTATCAGGTGTAAAGGTACAAACGAATGAAAAAGGAAAGGAAGAAAAAAACTGAAAAAGAGGACAGAACTATAGTTTTATACGGTATACTATCGAGTGGGTGTGGCTAACTTACGAAATGCGTAGTCATTCTCATTTTATCTTGCCTTGTAGGCGTGTCCTATTCGAAGCTGATGTTTTCATTTTTACAAAAGGGGCTATTGTTTACCAAAGATACGACACAATTGGATAGATGGACAGACGGACATGCTCAGGTGCATTTCGAATTTGAAACTGGCGAAGAATACATATATACTCTCTGAAGTTTTTGAAGGTCGGTCCTGGTCGCTGAAAAAAGATGAAGGCTGAAGATAAAAGACTATACTCCTTATCCTTCGGCGATGGGGAATAAAAGCTAATGAAAATTTTTTGGGGGAAAAAAAATGATTAACAAATTGAAATAATATTATATATGAATGTTAAAATTTTTTAGAGATTTGCGCATCATGCCCAATACATATCCGCCGAAAAGTGATAGTTATGAAGGAAATTATTATCAGAGCTATGCCAGTCCATTTGGATCGTCTAACAATGAGCGACATCAACAGCTACTTATGACTGCCCAAGCCAAAAGGAAATTCAGTTTTCCAGCCACTTTACATTCGAGCGCACTGCTAGAGCAATATCACCAGCAATCAACTCGACGACGCTTAAGTAATGTCAGCGATGCGGTAACACGAAAGTTATCCTATACGATCGGATGGAAGAGTCAACAAATATCGGCACAGGATATAATAACACAAGTATCGAAAAAAACAAATATTTTGCATGATTCATAAGAGAGGGCATTTTTTTTTATAATCACCTACTAATTTTAGGGATGTTGTCTATGCGGTCAATATATCAAACGTCGTCTACGCCGATCAGGTCTTTTCAATAAGAAATTGGGCTTGCAACGCATACGCAGTATTATGAGAGTAACTACTACGACAGTTGTACGTGAGGTCTTCCCTGCTGTTTTAGTGGTAAGAAAAATATTGTTAAGCCCCCTCTAACATACGTTTAGCGATCTCTGAATATATAAATATGCCGGATTCGGTTGTGTCCATTGCATTTCCTATTCATTCGTCCAAAAAAAAAAAAAAGAACTGAAGATTGAAACATAGCTTGTAGCTCTTAACTCCTACCTAAACGATTATGATTATGATTAATTAACTAAAATCAGAAAGAGAATTGATCGTTATAATCCAAATGTACTCCGAATATATGAAATATTTCACAATTTCAATCCGTAATTATCCATTAAGGTATCACCTCAAGATTTCCCCGAAACTAGATATAATTTTTTTCTCTTAATTGTTTTTAAATAGTTAGGCGATGAGTTAGAACGTATGCATCCGCGTGTTTATAACGGTATAGCCCGGCAAATTTGTCGTAATCCCGGTGGTGAATTCCAGTCAGTCGACACTGTTAATCTGCTGCTGAGTGCCGTTGCGCGGGATTTATTTCGCTTAAACATAACATGGAGTAAAATTGTTTCATTATTTGCCATTGCCGGTGGCTTATCGGCAGATTGCGTTCGTCAAGGTCATTCCGAGTACTTACCCAAGCTAATGGAAAGCGTATCTGATATCATAGAGGACGAATTGGTGCCATGGATTAATGAAAATGGCGGTTGGGCAAGTATCCTTCAAATTGCTTCGTTAAATAATTTCAATATAAATTTTCTTCTACTTTTTTTTAGTTAGGGATGAATAATCATGTTCTTCCAGCTACAAAAAAATTAAAACCTCTAGAATGGTCAACTATAGTAATTTGCGGTATATTTGGTTTATTTGTTCTATATGTTATAGTAAAATTCTTCTTAACATTTATAATACCCGAACTCTATCAACGAATTATGGGAAAATAAGAAAATAAATGAAAGCAAAAAAAAGTCAAATTAACCTTCTTTTTCTCCAAATCTGATCGGTTAAGTAAGAGAGCAGTAAAACGGCCATCGCCAAAGTTTCAAAATCCACTAACCATAATCGTAAACCACAGAATGATGTGAATATTTAACTAATGCGAAATGCTTGATAAGAAAATAACTTATCAGAAATGTAATTATGTCCCGGGCTAGAAAGATTTATAATTTGACTTCGATTTTAATTAGTTGAGAGAGAAAAGCTCTCTATCATAAGGTGACATGGATTTTTCTTACTTATCGATAATCATAAATAAGATTTTGAGGCTTTTCTTTGAGACTAACGTATCTCAATACGGTTTTCATTTTCGTTGCCGCTTATATTGGAAATATTATTTCGAAATGATAATTATCTACATTTGATCATATATATATTTTATTAGTAAAATAACAATTGATTTAATCCATCTAAACCTGTCGTTTGACATTAAGCCCTTTCATAAAATGATTAATATTTAAAATATGTTGCATTACGATTTAGTCGATGACTTTTGTGACATTTCTAAGAGGCTCTCTGATCTGTTGGAATTTTCCTACCACGGATTACGGATCGCTGGTTATCGATCATTGTTGATCCGAAAGCTTTTATAAGACAATTCTCGTTTCGTTCTCTCTCTTTCTCTCTCCGCCTGTCTTACGAATATTTTCAAAAGACAAACTGCATATGCTAATGATTAGAGAAAATTTTGCACTCTCCAGATCTCTTTGAAATCAATCTTACTCAAATTACTAGCATTATTATTGTAAAGTTTTGTTTGCTCTCAGAGAAGATTTCTCTGTTTACTTCGCAGCATTAGGAGATTGCTGACATTGCTGTTATTATAAAGTTGTGTTTACTCTGAGAGATAATTTCTTTATTGCAAAATCTTAGCTTACTTGAGCCTGAAAAAGGGAGGGAAAGATATAAAGAGAGGATCACCAACATTCTTCTTAACAATTGCTTACACGAATATAAATCTCTGGATGTTGTTTTTGTTTTTTTTTTTTTTTGTTGCTCTTTTCTTCTCTTCTATTTTTTCTAAATATTTTATATGTGCATACATATCATGCTCTGAGAGGAATTTCTTTGATTACTTGGCATTGGGTTATTGTAAAATTTTGCTGCTCTGAGAGGAGATTTCTTTATAAAACGAGCCTCATAAGAACGCATAGCGACGTAAATTTTATTCTCAAAAAGACAAAATTTTAAATAACAAAACAAATACATATATATAAATCGTATATATGTATGTACATACATACATACATACATACATACATACATATATACAAAAAGATTTCAGATTTTGAATATTTTGATATTTGCAGTTGTTGTTGCTTCTACAGTCCATCAGTTCGCTTCGCTCGCTTCGCATTTTAGAATTCACGAGATTTGTAGATTTCTTATCGCGAAAACTTACGCGAATTAATATAAAATATACAAAATAATTAAAATATATATTTAATATCGTTAATATTATAAATGTTAAGGAAATCTTGAAAAAAAATAAATAAATAAATAAAAACATTAATGTTAATATCAATATGGTAATAATAGTAAGTGAGAAATCGTAATGGCCTAAACGGTATTGGAACCGTCTTACGGCTTACACGATTAAATTCTATGGATGTGTGATCGTTATTAATTTTTTTATTTTTTTATTATTTTTTTTTTGTTTCAACGGTATAAAGTAAAGCATAAAATAAATAATGTATTAAACTAATTGCGAAGTGTATCAATTTAAATTTGACACTTTTGTTCCGTATATGTGTGGTTGTGTAAATCTTTTTAAGACGAATTATTGTCAATCCGATTAGTCAGACTTTGATCGACACTCTATAAGCATTAGAAAAGGCAAAAGAGATACGTTTTCCTGGTTATAGGCTAACTTTGCAAATTAATCGCTGTTTGCTGGTCTGGCTGGCTATCTGTTACTTAAAGCGATCAAAGTCGCAAAACTTAATGTCGACTCTGAATTAGTTAGTATAACGTACTCTTCTAGTTCACTATATACACTATATACACTCAGAGATACAATAAAATACCTGCTGGTATAACACTTTTAAAACAAATTTCATAAAACAATTTGTATAACAGTCAGTCAGACGTTCGACCATCAAGCGTTGTTGTTTTCAATTGGCGTTAAAACGTTTTTGAATTCAAATTATCTTTCTATCCGTCTGTGCACCATCGAAAAGCCCGATAAAATATCCATATAGCTTAGGGAATTTTAAATGAAAACTACTTGAAACAAGGAATTTCTTAATCCGTTCGCACAGTTGACTTGGGCCAATTAAGAGACAAGGCTTCAATCAATTATTGAAAGCCCTATATATATATATATATATATATATAGCAACGAATTAATACTTGATCAATGCTCCTATGTGGTAATTTTTCATTCAGAAAAGTTCCGCTAGTACGCAAGAGATAAATTTTAATTTTTCTTTTTAAAAGATACTTTAAGTCTTTGAAATTTGTAAGTAGCAAAGCTTTGAAGATAACAGGTGAGAATAGAAATCTATGCTCGCTCAAAAATCTCTTTGAATGCATTGTACTATATAAATAGTATAGGATCTTTGAAGGATTATAGGCCATTTCCAACATCCGCAGCGACTTCGTCAACGAAATTCATTAAGCAAGAATCGAAAATCGTAGAAAATAGAAAAAGCTTTTGTCGAATAAACGTTTTCCAGCGCTTTTCGTAAACAATGCAATTCGAGCGATAAACTCCTATAGATAGATATTTTTAATGCTTTTACCAGCTAATGTGTCTATTTACCTTTCTTTATAAAATAAAATGGAAAAAATGCAGGGCGAAGGGTTAGGGGGGAATATTCCACATAATCCACATAATCTACTCAATAAAATGTACGCTAAAAAAAAAACACAAGCCCGAAAAAAGCTCTAAAAAGATTTCTTATTTTACAAATTTTTGCGATTCTATTTCATACAATGCTAAGCAGAGATCACAAATAAATAAAATGAAATATAATTAAATCAAATGTATTCTGAGGTTACCTACGCACACATTTAGTTAAACAACAAAAACAATAATAATAATAATAATAACACAAAAGCAAAACAGCATCCAAACACCGTAACAAATCCAATTCAACTTTACAAACAAAAAAGAAAAATAAAATAAAACAAAAAGTAAAAAACAAAAAAAAAACAAAAAAATCAAAAGCACAAAACACGTAAAACTCGCGAACACATCGGGCAAAAAAAGTAGTTTTATACACAAACACTATTAAAAGCAGCGCATTGAAATTGTTTATAACCGTTCGAGTTATGCCCTCACCACCGACCACACCACGCTCTGTACGCATTAAGCCACAATTTCCACCGGCTCCAAAATTGGGTAGAGCCAAACTGAAGTCATCATCACTGGATCATGAATTGTTTTTAAGCTCCAATAGCAAACAGCGCACACTGCAAAACAATAATTCATTAGAATGGCAATTATTGCAACAACAATCGTCACTACCGTTACCTCGCACTGGATCTACTTCATCGCTGGCCAGCAGTAGTGTACAGCCTCTAAGCGCAAACAATTATCAAGAGTTCAAAACAGAAATCATCAACCAGGTAAATCAGAGGGCGGAAGCAAAAAATGGGCAAAATTATAGATTCATTCAATCAATCCCTTATTGAATTGGAATGCATTAAGCCGATCTCCGATCTTATCAGTTGTTCAAAAATAAAAACGTATATACCCATTTACATTAGACGCTTGAATTAATTTTCATCGTTTTTATCTATTTAAGAGAAATTTATTAGTTATCCATATCATATAAGTTAATTGATATTTTCCCTGACGATAGTCAGAAGTTTGTCTCGTCGTTTAGCACATCACGCCTTTTAAGACGCTCAAGCAACAGAGAGCCTTTCTCAATAACTCCAATAGTCCAGTTTGCTCTAATTATCAAAATGATTAGCATTAGCAGAATGCGGCCAATAGGTTGGGCAACTTCCTTCAAAGGTATGAAAGCCTTCCTTGAACAATTTAGAAATATTTGTTCGCGTATTGTTCTTCTGAAAAACCAATTTATAGAAAAAGTTTTACCTTCAATCCGAAATCACGTCGACGTCATAAGCCACGGCTTGCTAAAGCAGATTTCAGAAATTTGTTGCACATGTTACTCAACTAATTCCATGTCAATTTACATTGCTTTCCAATGAAGAAAGATATCCTTTAAGAATAATTACAGAGGCATGACCTATTCTAGACACTGCTGAAAAGCCAATACCATTGTTTCTTCAATGTGGCAGACCGTACCATCTAACCTCACCAGGGCTAGTTGAAAGCTCTGAACGAAAAAAGGGCTGGAGCAACCCAGACGAATATTTAAAGTGAATGTATAGGAATGTCCCATAAGCTACTTCCCTCGAGCCGGCTATGTTTACAAACATGCAGATTTACGGCGTCGATTTCAGTCGTCTCACAAAGTACGCGTCGCTGGTGACAATTTCTTTTCAAATATTTTCCTACGCCGTTCAATACAGATAGTCGAAGAAAGCATTTGCGGCATCAGACTATTAGAACCGTCCGCAATTGGTTTAAGAAATTTGGATCTAGCAATTTTGATTTGAAGGATAAAGACCGTAGCGTCCGCCCAGCAACGACGGATACGGACCTCATCAATCGTATGCTCGCGATATAGTGTGCGCGAGATACTGGACAACGTCACAATAATCATTTAATCAACATTGGATATAACGTGCATTGATTTCGCATCGAAAAAACAAAAAAAAAACTCCGTACTTTCAGGCGAACCTAAAATACATCCAAACCAAGCATTATTCCGATTTGTCATAGAGCATAGCTTAGAGGTGAAATAATATCAAGATTTTTGTCTTACTTGTCTATCAGTTTGGTTGTAGTTTGTGAAATTTGTAATAAACGCTGGGAAAGGTGAGCATAGTAATCCAATGGATACACTCGAGATTAACGGGCGAAACGACCAAGTGAATTTTGCAGCTCTCACTTGAAATAGGGCGTTACACCGTTGAGAGCGATCTGCAGAGTACGAAACAAATGGTAGTTGCAAGCAACAAGATACGATCTGCATTATGGTTCAAAAATTTAGTAGCCAAGGTCGGCAAAATTATTGAAGTTATGTGTGACCTTGTATTTTCATGATGGAAGATGGTTAATTCTGGGTGCTCTACGTCAGTTGCGCCCATTAATCTAATTAACGGTTGAAAGTAGAAAGCGAAATAAATCGTTTAACTAGATTGGGGCAGCACATGATACTTGATCCTCTTCTCATCCCATCAAACAAAATATTCAGCTACAGGCTTGGCCAACGCTAGTGCGATTTCATTCATTTCAGAAACCGATCCTTTTCGCACATGCGTATTGTATATAACCCACATTCTTATCGTCCATTATCAGCGTCTTTATTAATGGCTGCTCAGCTCAATTGAATTTTATTCCAGCAGCGATTTGTTGGTAGAAAATCCCGCCATTAAATTTTTCACTGAATTTCAATTGGCAACCAAGACTTATCGCTTAATTCAAACTGATATTGTAAAATATAGCGAACTTATTTAGAGGTTTGGTTCATTTTCAAAACGCAGCTACTTTTGGCCAAACTAACGCATGTCGCATATACTTTTTCATATCCTAAATCACTTATGGTCTAAGGCATGTTAAGTTTGCGCGGATGTATCTAACGCATAGAAGGATTTAAGGTAGGCCCATTTTTTATTGTGCCGACAATCATCGCAGTCATACCCCTAATCCATTTAAGCTTGGCTGCCTGTTGCCTGATCATGTATTTCTCTATTCAATTGAAATACTTTAACAAAATTTGATATAGCGACGTGTTGTGATCCAAGAACGAACGCGCTATTCATAGTAGATTCATTTGAAAAGTTTAGATCGAACGGGTAAATTTTATACACAACTCTCTCCTTTCAATGTCATCGTAGTAGCGACCTAGCAGATCTATTGCATACGCCTGTCCTCCTAGCCCTCCAGTTTTAAGATTCTTATGAACCCCGTCACCTTCTTTGGTTCAGAGCGGCATACCGTATCCGGCGTTATGAAATGCTCGCCAAGCACATGGTATCTGGTCCCGCAGATGACCTATACTAACATAGAATATGGTTTGACGTCTCACTCCTCCCTTGGCAGAATCTGCTTGAATCGGTAGCGGAAATACCCATGCTTTTCAGATGGTACCTGAGGTAATTACGTCCCGCAAGTCTTCATATAGTAAAAAGGTATAACTTTTATGCCCATCATTTAAGGGTGGGCGTATATATATATATATATATATATATATATATCTATATATATATCCTCGGTCAGCATCTAATTCTGAATCGATTTGACCATATGCGTCTGTAAGAATTCCTTTGACCTTCAAATTTGGCAGATACATTGAAAGTTCTTCCACTCAAAATGGTATTGCAAATGGGCTAAATCAGTCGAAGGTCACGCCTACAGTATTTCGTAAAGTGAGAACATCTGTTTTCCAAACGGAAAAAAAAGTTATATTATTGTCATTACTCGTAAACTGTAGCAGATAAATGTGAATAGATTTTAACGCACTTTCTATGGGCGAGGCTGTAGCAGTCATATATATATAAATGAAAAAGATCGACAGCGCGCTATCCAGTGTAGCTTTATAACGTAGAGTATAAGAATTCTTGGCCAATTTCAAATTCAGAATGTTTGAATACTATATGAATCTGACCATCTGTCCTTTCGTCTATCGGCCCAACTGCGTAGTATTTGTGATAAACATTCTCCCGTTCGCAAAAACGGAGATATTGCCAACAAATTTGCAAAAGAACTTGGAAGTGACCTGCACTTTTTCAAAGTTCGCGCCTACAACGCCCATACGGGTATGTAACAAAAACAGTGAACACTTTTGCTTTCCCTCTCTCTTGCTCGTTGCTCATAAATGACGACACACGCAGACGCACAATATAAGTTTAGTGTTAACATAACTCATACCAGCAATATCGGTACTATTACTCGTCTCGTTAATGTCACGCCGTTCATAGTACTTTCATCTGAACGATTGTTGTCCTACCTCCTCACGTACCTCAAATTTAGAGACGATGTATTGAAAAAATATTTTAATGTTGCCTTCAGATCACAAGACCCATCCAAAATTGAAGTCCATTTTTTTATGTAGAAAAGTGTATGTTATAGTTCGAAAAATATATTACTCGATGAAAAAGCGAAAAAGAAAGTCTACTGGAAACAAGCTTAGCAGATTCGATATAATCCGTAGGATAAAGATAAGATTACGGATACGGAGACAGACACGCATACGCGTATTGCTTATAATCACCAAATTTTAAAGTCATCTGCAATTTGAAGCATAGAAAAGTTTTATAAACAAATATATAGATAAATCCAAGATAAAATCGGAACATCAGGGACTTAAAATGATTTCACTAATTTTACTTCTTTTTCCAATTTCAGGGAAAATGCCTTTGTGGTCAATACATACGTGCACGTTTACGACGTGCTGGGATGTTAAATCGCAAGGCTATCCAAAGACTACGTAGCATATTAGAGCCATCATCTGAAGTGGTTTTTCAGGTTTTCCCCGCCTTAAATACCGTAAGAGATATCGCATCCAATGGATGATTTCTTGATAAGTGAAAGACTTCTTTCTCCCTTTATGGGAGATGAAATCTAATCTAATTTTTATATCATTTGCAAATCGCTATATATACTTGCAGATGGGTGAAGAGCTTGAACGTATGCATCCACGTGTTTATAATAATGTTGCTCGTCAACTTTCACGAGCCCCGTATGGCGAGTTGGAGGATAGCGATACCGCTCCGATGCTTTTGAATCTAGTTGCCAAAGAATTGTTTGCCCGCCACGATAAAAATCGCATAACATGGGCAAAAATAATTTCAATTTTCGCCGTTTGCGGTGGTTTCGCAATTGATTGCGTACGTCAGGGTCATTATGATTATATACAGTGTCTAGTCGATGGGGTAGCTGAAATTGTCGAAGATGATTTAATTAATTGGTTGGCCGAACGTGACGGTTGGCTGGGTTTACAACATCACGTACGCTTACGTCCGAAATTACATAAGCCGATCGGTTTTTTAGGTTGGCTTACACTTTTCGCGGCCATCTCTTCTTGTTTTTATATTATGGCGAGTATGGCTAGACACATAGGTTGCCAATTATATTCCTTATTCTAATCGAACATAATTATTATCATGTGACGATTTCATTATAATATGATATGTTTAAATTTTTAGAATTAATTAATGATTTAGAAGAGAATTAACACATTTTAATTTATACTTTTCAAAATAAACAAATCATTTAACAAAACTTTCCTAGCAACTCTTCCGAACATTTCTTAGTAATCTAAAAAAGACGAATTGCCCGAGTTCTTAAATTTTTCAATGAGTCGCGACATACTTACCTTTTGAAGGAAAAAAAGGACGTTTGAGCTGAAAAATCTCAGTATCTCGAAAGTATGTAGCAAGCAAGCAGCGCATATAATACGGCATGATGGCATAAGGCCACCATCAAACACGATCATAGTAGAAAAAAGCAAAAAAAACCTATATTAGAGAATTTTTTTTTTTAAAAATATTTTCCTCAATCTTTGATCAATCTTGATCCTGCCGCGTCTACATTCAAAATCTTTAGTTCCTACCTAAACCAAGAATCATCATGACTACTCAAACCATTTGGCAAAAAAAAAAAAAAAAAAAAAAAAAAACACACCATTTTACAAGTCGTATTATAAAATTTATCTAATGCTTAAGCATTTAACTAAAACGCTTCCATACCCAGTAGTTCTCCTTTGCATACTTCATAAAAACCATTCGCTTGAGCATAACAACTTTCTGGACTCTTCGCTTCAGAAAGCAATATTCGTTGAAAACGCGCTCGCTTTGAAAATAATCTACACACACATAAGCATAAGTATATGTTCCTCCTGGCCACAGAAATGAAAATACCGCCCAAGAATGTAAAAATGATCTGAGCCGGCCAAATGACACACTTGTGCAACAAAAACTATGAACGTCTGCACTATCCCTGTTTTTTGCTTGTTACTACACCAATAAAGTACAACACATACACTATACAAATTTTCACTTTCATTCTGACAATAAAAAATCAGCTACGCCCATGAAAATGTAGTTATTTTCTTTTTAGCAACCATTTCAGGAGAACGGTGATGGGTATAAAAGATTCGCTTACGGCCGGAATATTACTGTCTTACGTGTTTTTGAATCGACGATCTATTCCTGTTATGCTAGCCAACCATCACCAGGTTCAAATGTATTATAATAAATTCTGAAGTACAATGGAAAGTCAAAAAATACGAATCGGAGAACCGCTCAACTATATATGTATAGATGAACATAGAATTTCGATTCAAATGAGCTTTGTCCACTTCTCTGTCACACGATTGCTCGCTTTCAAAATCCCCAAATTTGAGAAAACCAAGGAAGAAGGCAAATTCCTCGACAGACGTATTTACAGTAAATATTTGCAAGCCTTGCTAAAGTTCCTACACAAAATATTTATTAAGCTGTAGTGCACACCAATTTCATTTAGTATTTAGCAAATCCTTAGACAAAGTGTTTCAGAGATTGGGGGACGAGGGAGAGCTCGTCCTCCTCAATCCGCTCACAGACACGTCCACAAGGGCGCGTTGCAAAAAATTATAACACCATTCAAGACATATGAGAAAAACAAAAGCTGTTGATGCATATGGACGGACATCAATATATGCACGCGTTTACGGCCCGTTAGTTAATTCAATATATGAATATATGAATATATCTCTTGTCCTAACGGTGATCGGTGTAAAAAATGTACCCTCTACCTGTACCATCTCCACACTATTAATTGCCTTAATTTTTTGTTAAACTTTGCGGAACAAAAGCTTTCCGCACACTGAACGTGACGTGAACTAAATACGATACGATAGAATTGAAGTTCGAAGACCTAATGTTACCGCCACAGAAAACGAAAGCCACGCACACATCTTTAAGATTTACATATTTTATTATTATTATTATTATTATTATTATTATTATTATTATTATTATTATATATATATATATATATGTTATAGAAATTTAAAAACAAAATGTTT